TTTTCTTTTCCCCGACGCGTGTCCTTTGAATATACGGCAGCTGCTTAATTGCCAGCAAGAACCGACCGATAGGGCAATTAACGATCCGGGGACAGCCGGAGCGGCTCGCGACAATATAAAATCCCATCAGATGGTGCTCGATACGGTGCAATAAACATGGAGAATGTTAATTCCGGCATGTCGGGCACGAAATTAAATTCCATTGGATTTTACAGCCTTTCCGTTCGACCAGATTCAAACTCTCCTCCACCTTCTCCTCCCTCCTCTGTTTGCCGACGTTACGTAAATTCTGACTTCTTTTCCTGCGCAACTCTGTCACTTGTATTTTTGTTTTTTTTTCTTTTTTCTTTTTCTTTTTTGTCGCACACCGTCCATCTGTCGTACCTCGGTCGTATTAGCTCGCTCGCTTGTTGCAGTGTTGTTTGTTTGCCGTTTAAGTTTGCCGATTACTCTCCGGCAAATGCGTGTTTGGCCTCCTCTTCGGCTTCGGCCGGGAGAATTTCACGACTGGCGCGAATTGCTGATTGGCAAGCGGAACACGGCCGCGTTAATGCTGAATTCTAATTCACTCGAGTCGCCCTTTTCGTTTCCTCGTCCGTCTTGTTTAACAACACACGTGTGGAGTATTTCTTTTTTCCCTTTTTTGTAAACTACCAAATTTCATCGGAATCGCTGATGAAAACTTGGGTACGTTCCCTCGTCCGAAATGGTCGAAACAATCGATTTATTATTTCCGTCAGGAATTTTACGAGTGTCATTTTCTTCGTAGAACGCGTAAGTGAAAGCTTTACTTTTCTTTCGCTTAGTTTTTCTTTTGAATTTCATCGAGATTGATGATCGACGCCTCGGATGATCTTTCGTAGAACGTGCAATTGAGTTTCGTGCTTCGATAGCTTTAGCATTAAAAAATTACGGGATTTCAACGCGTCTGTGTTAGAACTAGAAGAAACACGGCACGATCCACCAAATCGAACGATTGCATTCTAATCTTCTCTAAAAGAAAAAAAAAAAAAAAATACCGACCGACGATGAATCGAACACCCGGAATATGATATTTCAGTCAATGAAGAATATTCTTGGAAAAAATACTTCGAGAGGGAAGAAACATTCTTCTTCCCGTCAATTGGAAATTACATATTTACGTACATACATAAAAAGGAAAACAGAAAGAAACGAAACAACGTGAGAATTATAGAGGAGACAAGAACACGAATTATAAATGAATGGAGATAAATGGAATCGGATATTCGTTGGCCGTTTTTCCATTGGCGGGCACACTCGCCCCAACAGAGCAAGCACCAGGCGAGCATTTCTATGGTATTATGCAGATCAGTGTTTAATTACGTGTTCGCGGAACAACGGACGGCTTCTAGTGAATACTCATTAAGCGTGTCGCGCGCGCGGGGGCAACGATGATCGATATTAATGACGAATCAATGGTGTAATCCAATATCATCAGTTCGGCAGGCCTCCGGTTATTAAGGTCCACGAATTAATATGAATTACTACGCCGAGCGGGGGCGGCGTTGTTTCAATTAAAATCCAGCCTACCGCGGCCTCAGAAACGAGATTCCCCGCACGAGACACTTACTCGGTGTGTAATTGATAATCTTTTGTACCTTCTACCTTCTCGTTCGTTTATTTTTCCCTTTCCACTTCTTTCTTTTTTTTCAATTGCCCGATCGTCCGATAATGGAACAATCTTGATCAACTATTAATCGAGAAAGAAATTGATTTCTCGCTTGAGAAACTTTCATTCGTCGTGTAAGAAAGCAGAGTGATCACGGTTTGAAACCACCTGGCAGAAGTGATGTCTTAGAGGAACGGCACGCAGGTTGTTAACTTCGATAAAACGCGTCCAAAGTGACATTCCTCAGACATTTTAACTGCGCGAAGTGCAATTAAAATCGCTGACGCTGGAAATGCTAGGTCTAGGTCTCGCCTATGAAGGAGAAGCGAGAAGTCAAATAGATTTCGCGAGGAAACGTAATCAACGCGACGACCTCTTTCGTTTTCTTTCACGGCGGATAATCCCTTGATCAGTTGCGTAAAATAATTCGCCGCGGTCGTTCGTATCGTAAAATAGCGCGTCGCGATCCGGTTCCGATCAATTCCGAGGATAATATCACGCTGCAGCGTTGTTAACAGACGCGCGTTAGGCAGCCTCTGGTTTAATATTAATGAACGACGTTATGTTTCTGTAAATCAGCGTAACGATAGCTATCGGCAGAGACGCAGAGATACTGACGCTGGCGAGAGGGGGCAACCAACGTTTCTATATCTCGCCGATTGGTCACCGAAATCCGCGGCTGTCCGTCTAATTAATAGACACTGGCGAAAGCAATAATATGCGGTGAAATGTTACATAGGCGACCGATGGCATATTTCCGTATTACCGAGGCCGCTCGGTTTTCGAAGGATACACGCGCTGTATGTAAACTCGTTTGTAAATATTAGCGTGAACCAGGTATAATGTTGAACGCGATAATTGACCCGGATGAACGAAAGAACGCGGCGAAGATTTACAAGGTTGCCGAATTTTATTTCGTTAATTGTTTCGAATTGGTCCTTCTTCGAGTTGGGAGTTGGCGATTCAACTTTCTTAATTTATTGTCCTATTTATGACGATCGCTGCATCCTCTTCGAACGATAATGGAGAAATACACAGCCCAATGATGTACAACACAAGAAGAAAAAAGTACGAAATTATTGTATATTTTCTTTCGATTAATTTATTCTTACGTAAAGTCGGTGGTGCATAAAATTCACATTTAAAAACATAAAACAGAGAATCCTCTAGGACTGCGTGATCTCTAGAAGGGATAAAAAGGGTGTTACCTGAAGATTGGAAATGACACTCGGTGGTAAAGAAGTCCATACGATTCTCTTTCAGCGTCTTTCAGTTAACATTGTATAATCGTATTCTTATCTCGTAGGAAATAGACCTTAGAATTCTTAGAATTATACTTCCCTCGGAGGAAAAGATGGGAATTTCACGCCGAGCGTGCGTTGATAATTCTCCCTTTAAATTCAAAAAACAAAAACAAAAACAAAAAAAAAAAAGTTTGAAATGCATTTGGGTGTTGTTTTGTTGCAGTCCTTGACAAGGCAACGGCCCCGAGAGACGTCGCAAACCAGACCCGAGTCACGAAGCTTCCCACTGAGCGTAATCGACTATATGTCGAGGTCAGAGGCGGCGACGTCCCCGGAAAGCGGCCACGACGAGGAGGAATCCTTCTTCGACAGGCCGCCGCCACCCCCGCCGCCGCCTCCGCCACCGCCTTCGCAACAATCGCAATCTCAATTGGAACAGCATAGCATCGGTGACCTGGCGAAGGATGACGAAGACAATGCGAAAGTCGCGAACCTCCTCGATTCCACCGGTGACAGAGAAACGTCCGAGGAATTGGTCAGGTGAGCATATCACTCTGCTCACGTGTTTCTCAGCTTTACCAGCAACGTACAATACGAATACTTTTACGAACGATCGCGACTTTATCTACCTATTAATATCGGCTTTTTTTTTATATTAACCGTGGCCAGGTATCATAAACTTATAAGATTCATGACTAGTGAGGAAAAAACGATGCAGAGTATACGCATCGAAATAAATAAGAGGCAGAACATCTTTTGTCTGTACATTTTGTAATATTCCGTATTTAAAGAAATATTTTAAAAAATTCAAGGTATCATACGAATATTAGTTTGCAAGTAATTATATCGAGTTTAGCAGCTTGATAAATAGGTACGTTCTTGCTCGATAGCCAAAACCGACCAACTTCCATCACGTTACGGTAGATAAAGAGTTAAATTAGATTTAATTCTGTTCTTTCGATCTCGTCTCAGTTCAAGTCAACGGGCACGAACTTCTTCTCGAGGTACAAATCAATATGTAATTTCTGTTGGTCGAGCCGATTGCGAGTGTGAGATTGAAGTGTAAAATCGGGTTAATTCGTTTGATATCCGCAGCAAGTGGAAATTAATGGAGATTTTGCATCGTAGGTTCGCCCCGCAGAAGGACGACAGGACGACGATGGATGGACAGGTCAGAAGACCTCGTCACATTTCGAGGGACCATTATATTTCAAGGTAAAGATCTCTGTCTTTTTCTTTTTCTCTTTCTCTTTCCTCTGTAAAATCGTGAAAATCGTGACGTATCGCGACAAATGCAACTTACGTGAAATTTCGGAATGAGTAAAACGAAGGGAAAGTGTTTCGCGTTTGATCCTCGGCTTTGGAGCGCCAAGGAGTAAAAATCAATCCAACGTCGAGCGCGAAGCGTCATGATTTACAACGAGAAAGAGATTACAGAAAAACGAGTTGGGGCAGGGCGAGGACGACGATGGTGCTACCGGATGACGGGGTGACTCTCAGAAGGGATTTGACCGGTGCTACGAGAATCTCTCCGAGCACCATCGATCGGATATTCGACAACAGTAACAGACGACAGTACGGCATGGGTATCGTTGGAAGATTCCTGGGGTGAGTTGCTACTAAATATCCGTCGTTCTACCAGTTCAATCCCTTCGAAATCTAATATTTTCCTGCGTCGAATCGAAAAAAAAAAAAA